GGAAGCTGTTCCTCAGAAGCCCTATGGAACTCAGCAGCACAGTCATTAATTGATAAGTATTTAACAAAGATTCATCATGTAAAAGATTCAGTCTAGTCAGCGAGTGGAAATATTGTTTTTCTTTGACTGACATACTTTTTCCTTGCAGAATAGGAAAATATAGTGCCAAAAATTAAAAAAAAAACCTGAGCATATCAGTGGAAAGAAAAAAAAAGTGCAGCGCACATACAATAAATCCCACTATTTTCAGTTATATTTTGCTTTATAGCATAGCAGAATTCAGCTGATATATAGACGTTCTCGGGCAGTTATTCATCCCAGAACGAATCAGACTAAGTTTGGGGAATCTTTATTTATATGAAGACATTTGTTTTTGGTGACATGAAGAAAATATAAGATTCCACAATTACCTAGATGATCAACGCCACAAAAATTATAAACACTTGTTTTGCATATGTAATTCTATTCTAGTAACTTTTTACCTAAAAGCTTTGAATACTGGAGTATTCCTAAGGGACTTGCAACTTCTGATTTGCATTATCTGCAGCAAAGGTCCATAAAGCCAATATTGATACAATCATGAATCAGTTGCCTCTATAGTCCTTTGCTGGAAATAATGCAACTATCAAAAATGATGAGAAAAGGCTACATAAAAATAGAGTCTCTTGCACAAACCCAAGAAGACTGAGAACATCAGTTCAAGTGCCCCATTTGCTGGTCATTATTAAGAATTACAAAGTTTGTGGGTGTAATGAAATGTTAAATTGTTGCTTGAGTGAAGGCAAGTAAACACTTAACTGGGCACTTCTTTATAAGGAAGGTGGGACAGAGGGCAATATGAGGAGAGAAGCAGTGAGGGGCAGATACGGGAGTAATCAGTGGACAGGAGAAAACTGACAAAGAAGGCAAAGGAAGTTAGAGGAGAAGTATACAGTATATGAAGAGAAGCACTGGTAGACACTGTGAAAAAGAATCAATCTATAAATAAGCATGATGTTCTGGTCCTTTAAACTGAAACCACTTATACCCATGCTACCTGTTTTGTTAAATAAAGTTTTAAAGTATTTATAAATACCTGATCCTCCGAGTAACTGAGAAACAGATTATAAGAAAGCCACTCCTACCCTAAGGCACCACATGACCAGAGGAAAGACTACTGATAAGAGAGATAAGAGAACATCAGTAGAAGTGGACATTCATAATTTTCATGTGAAGGCAGCAAGATTTTTAAACTGTATTTATTTACCTCCACGATAAAGTTATAAGAAATGATATGCTACTTCTGATCAAATAAATCTGATTTTGCCACTGTGGATTCTAGACATGCAGCCTTCCTAGAGGTTGCCCTGCACTAGAAATAAGCTACTTTAATGGAAAGATTTTTATGATAATTGCTGCTTTTTATCACAAATGCTGTTGTTCTTTTTGAAGTTTTATATGTACTGTTCTTTTAACTATTTCACTCTTAACATTTATTTTTTTATCAATTTTATAATTGACTTGAATTACATTTTTATTTTCCCATCTTGAGAAGACTGCAGTCTTGAAAAGCAGTCAAAAATATATTAAATGAACAAGTAAATTAACATGGCTATGTTCAGCTAGATAACGGAAGATTGTTTGTTTAAAAACAGATTAGCATTTAGAAAGACAGCAGTGGGAAAAAAAGATCTGTGTAATGCAACTATAGTAAATTCTACTGTATTCAGTGTGGCTTATCCCTAGATAACTATTAGGGTTGTGCAATTATTCAGATTTGATTAAGAAAAAAAATGCTTTGGAACATGTAAGAATGCATGAAGTCTGAGACTCAATAAAGTAGCTGTGTCTGTTTCCAGGAGTGCTTCAATGAGTTGCAGACACATGCTGCATTCAGACTCCTACACATTCTGAAACATCTCTTCCAAATCAAATCTGAATAATTGTACAGCCCCAATAGATATCTTTGCCTAAAATATGACAAAAAGAAATCCTTCACATACCTAATTAAAAGTATGTTCAATAGATCACAAAACAGAGAACAGCAAGTGGGGAAATTCAGCTATGCAATTTGTTTACATGTGTTAATTTTTTGTCTCACACAAAACAAATTATTTGAGTGTGGAACCTTATGTAGCCAAAACAGAAACATCAAAGACAATAGGGGCTTATTAGAAGACTTGGGGAAAACCCAAGATTTATAAAACATATACAGAAAAAAATGAAGAAATATACTTGGCAAAGCACCCCAACATAAACTAAATACACTCAGCAGCAGCCACATATCACCCCGTGCCTGGCTCTGTCTGTCAGTCTGAATGTCAGCACTCCATGTGGCAACTCTTCGTTGCACGTATACCTTTTTATTAAAGATAGCAGCCTGCTCTTCGAGAAGGGCAACCAGCTTCTGAAGGATTTGCTCTTTCTGTTTCTCATCCGATTCTCCTGGCAGCTTTTCCAAGGCAGCTGAGCAAAAAAATATTATTGTGATTCCAAAATATAATACAGTATTTCCCTGCAAAAACAGTCATCAGTTTTAAGCCACACCGATGTCAAAATGATGGCACGTGTCCTGTGATATCATTGCACAAATGATATGATTATGTAACGTCTCTGAGTTGCATAATGTTTGATGGAAATATGTCAGTCATATCATTTTGTGATGATATCAAGATGTACTTGTCTTAATTTCATCCCTATCCTCCTGTGGATACTTATGCTTGAAAGGAAGACTAGTTTTTCCCCCCGAATAATTTACATAAATTAAATTAGATTAAATTAATTTTTTAATTTAAAATTTTTGCTAAGATTGTTGTAAAAGAAGCAGATGAACTTTTTCATCTAAGCTTTGTTTTTCAGGTGGCGAGACTGTTTTAAATTCAGAGTCATCCTTCTTTCCACACGATTCCACATGTATTTCCCCCAACATACTTCCCCGATCTGATGCCTTCCATATGTATTGGCCAAAAGCTGGCTCTAACTTTTGCGAATTAAAGTCTCAACAAAACTGAAAGATGACAATATAGGAAATGCTGAGATGTACAGTATAGGGATCAGGAAGGGATTTCTGTCTTATCACTGTTATAAACCCAGGCTTTTTGGACGAGGCAGCTTAAATGCACAAGAAAATAAATTCAGTACCTGAGTTGCCAGAGATTGTGTCTGCAGGAATTGTAGTGTTCAGATCTGTGGGAGAAGGTGAGCTTTTTGCTGCTGCAGGGGTGACCCACTGTTGTTGTTTCACAAAGTAATCTAATTTCTGGGCCACCAAAGTATAAAACTCAGCACCCTCAGCTTCACCATCTGTAATAAAGAATAGAAAGTTATTAAAGCAAGGGGCACAAAAAAGCCAAATCCTGTATCAAAAGGATACAGAAACACGATGGACACCAAAACATTAAAGGGTGAATACAGTACTAATAACATGATAAAGGTAAAAGTTCCCTCAAATCAAGCCCAACTCTTAGTGAATACCTGGACAAGTCTGTATAGTTTTGATAGGAGCAATATGGAAATGTTTTGCTATTGCCTTCTTCTGGGATTTTTTTTTTCCTTTTCCTTCCCATTTTACTGGGAATGTCCTGATAGTCTACCATTTAAGAGCTAACTAGGTCTGATCCCACTTAGCTTTTTGAGATCAGCAAAGCCAATACGTGCTGCCATCTGCTGAGGCTATGGTAACCTGATTATCTGTCAAATGACCAAGTTATATTTGGGGAAGGATTTGCAAACTATACAGAATAGGCAAAAACAAAAGGAAGACAAATCTCTTTACTAGTTTATTACTGATGGCACAATCAGTGGAAATATTATTCTCTGTGGGCATTAGAGGAGGTAAAGTGTTTCAAACAGTTTTGAATGTACTTGTTACAAATACCATAAGAATTAGATCTCTGATGTAGAATAGCATGCAAACGAAGGCAAGCCTACCTTTTTCGTTATATAAACAAGTGTTGTGCAAAAGCATTGCTTTTTTTAAGGAGTTGGACTGGCAGTGGAAAGGTTCAGTTCAGGTTCACCTTAACCACAGAAGCTCACTGGGTGACTTTGGACCAATCATTCTCTCTCGGCCCAACCTATTTCAGGGCACTGTTGTTGTGGGGAAATATGGGAAGAAGGAGTGCTTATATATTGTCTTGAGCTCCTGAAGAAAGCTGCGCTATAAATCTAATAAATGAATAAATAATTTTGTATCTGAACAAAGGATCACTCTGTCCTGAATGAGGGATATAATATTAGGAAAGTGTTATTTAAGGTGGGGAGTGATTTTAATATTGGAGTGGGAAGGTTATTTTTATGTTATGGCTATCACTTTGGGGATCTGATGGTTAGAAAAGGCAACTTAAATGAATATTGTCAAGGGGAAATTCAATGTTCTGGAATTTTTGAATGACTTCAGGTTTGCCTGTTGAAATATTACTACTTCTACTGCTCCATATGAGCTTCACCAGGAAAACAGTAGGAGGTAGAGGTAGAAAGGGTACACTTGGAACTGAGGGGTAAGATTCCCTAAGTATAACTTCCTCAATCCAAGAATTTATTTTAGTACCAGCATTAAGTAAACAGTTCTTCCACATAGAAATACTGTATGTTTTCCATCTCAGTGGCCTAATTTAGGAAGTAAATCAATTTGTTTTTGTTCTTAATCTATAGACTGAATTTCTTGCAGAATTTCTTGCAAGATCTCCTGAGATATACTTATTTAGTTAGCACCTATCCAATCTTGATTTAAAACAAGGATTGGGCATTTTAAATATTTTTGGACTGCTGGGGGTTGCACATTTTATCTATTTTTTCATTTTACTAGCTGGGTTATGGGGAGTGTGTGTGGGGCAGAACACTTCAAATGTTAGGGTTGTAGGGGGGAGATGTTATATTCTTAAGCCAATTCAAAGGCTTAAATTTCTTTTTTCTGTATTTTTCTGTGGAAAAATTGAAGGATATCATGCTCTTAAAATTCTGTTGATTAGCTGTTGCCTAATTTCAGTTGACCCCAACCACACAACCTATAATCTGTCTAGCTAAGGGGGTACCATGAAAAATGTCCTTAAGCTCTTTTTTTCCAAAGGCAGGTCAGCATTTTGTTTTTTAAAATAAAGGTTCATGGAGTCAATTAGCAAACATAATTATGGCCTAGCAATCAATGGGATCCCTCATAATGGCAATGGGGAAATTGCTTCCAAAGCTATCTCCTAAGAGCCTTTCTGAAGTCACCATTTGGGGGAGTCAATGATTTGCTGAACAGGCCACTCCTTGTTCCTCTGGGCACAGAGAATGAGGCAATCTTTGGGTATGCACAGAGAGATATGGAATAATCTGACCTGGCCTTAAGATAGGTTATGGAAAGTGAGAGGGGTTCTACCTTAGTCTGAGTGGGCTAATAAGAAGATCCTGAGGGCTGCATCCTGCCTGGGAGCCAGGGAGTTCCCATTGCTTCAGGAAAGCAGAAAATATAACATGAAAATAAGTGGATACAGCCTCATGTGGTATAATGACCACAGCAATCACCTTGGAGACACCCAGACTCAAATCTTTGTTCAAAGTGAATGTTGGCAAGATAAAACATAACTTTATCTCATTCTTCCTCCAAAAAGCCAAGATATATTTCCACCCACCCACCCATCCAAGCAAGGCTTGAGCACCACAATAAAGAAGCAACCAGAAAATGGAGCAAGTAGCAAAGCTTCATACTGCCTGCTATCTGGACCTCTTCTGGCTCAGCTGCCTGCTTTCTACAATAGCAGGTGACAAGAGGCAAAGAGTCAGGGCGCTGGGGGTGAGCAACAGGGTCAGCTATCTCTGCTGAGGCAGCCCCCTTCTTCTTCAGGAGGCTCTTGTAGAAGGGGCGCTTCCGGTGGGCCCCTTCGGCCCCTGGCTTAGACTTCTTTAAGGAGTCCCCAGAGGAGGGCAGACTGTCAGAGGGCCCTCGAGAGTTGGACCGCTTCTGCAACAGGTGCTTAATGCTGGTGCGAAAGCCATGTTTTTTCCCTTCTGTGGAGTTACTTTCCTCATGGGCAGGGCTGCAGGCAGGACATTCCAGAGCATGTTCCACTGGGGACCTGCCGACAGAAGAAAACACACTGAAAATGGGAACCGTGATCCGTTGCTCTACTCCCCAACCTCCTTGGTTGATTTTTATCATTTTTATTTGCGTGTTTTTCTTCAATCACTCTACCAGCCTAAGAGGTGTCTCAGAATAGCCAAGCCATTTGACTTCATGAAATTGAAAGCGATACAATTGTTTGTGAGAATCAGCAGAGCAACACATGCAGCAAAGGGTTGGCAAAATTATTTAAATAATGATGCCAGGAAGATTAAAGAATTATCTGGGGGGGGGGAGCCTTAGCTGGCATATTAAAAGGATGGATATGGTAACAGTAGAGACTTTCTGGAGAAAATCAATCTCAGATTGGTGCCTGTTTCACCTCTGAGGGCAAAAGAAGTGTCACTAACACTGACACTAAAAGAAGTGTCTTTAGAAAAAAATCCTGAATTTCATTGCACCTCTGGCCAAATTATTTAAGCTTCTGGTCTCTCAGCCCCCTAACCTTCTACTTAAAATCAGAAGCCTTTCTATTAGGCCGAAGATTTATCCTACAGAATCCAAGCCAAGATTCCAAGTTTCAACATTGTAGAGGCCCTTGCAATCTACAGATTGTTGGATTCCTGCCCAAATCCCACTCTCTATTTCAGCATTTCTCAACCTTGGCAGCTTGACGATGTGTGGACTTCAACTCCCAGAATTCCCCAGCCAGCAGAAACACTGCTCTATTTATTTCTTTCCTTTGCAGGTAAGCCAAATCTTCAACTGCTAAACCATTACCTGGACATGTAACTTTGGGGGTCATGGTAGCCACGGCCTATATGACCTGGAGCCCCTTTCTCTCCGCTGCTTAGTGCCCCTTGCAGGAATGCTTCCAACACCAGCCGTGTCTCCTCAACCACCTGCCTCCTAGGGGGCACCGGGCTGCCAGCCATGAGCTTGGAGCAATGCAAGGCACCTCAACGCAGGAGAAGAGTCCTTTCTTCTTACATCTACCATCACCCCTGGAAGGAAAAAGGAAACAAACCACAGAGAATATTAGCCTTCTCTTCTGCCAACTGTCTTCTTTTCCCATCATCCTTTGCACCTGCTTCCTCACCATTTCTGGGACGGTTCTTCACACACCCTTGGCTCTTAACATGCCAGGGTCTTTCAGTCACATTCCCCTTCCCTCCTGGATTTGCTAGAATCTCATTCAGCTGCCTGCTCAAAGACAAACCTATCTATTCACCCATCCTGTGCAATCCAGAATCAAATCATGCTAAGATCACTGTCATGCAAAAAAAAAAAAAAAACAACCCTCGGCTAACAACGCTCTTGGTCACTTTCAGTAGAGCTAGTAGAAAAAATCCTTCCTAGCTCCAAATATGACATTCTTCTTTCAGAATTTTATTTCACATGTTTTCTCCGAGGTAGGCAAATTGGGCTACATGGCTTTGCCTGATTTTATCTTCACAGCTTTTGTGGGAAGTAGACTACACTGAGAGCTGATATCAGCCACTCAACTTTGTGGTCAAGTGGAGATTTGGACCTGGGCCTCCTTAAGATATGTGGACTTTAACTTCCAGAATTTCCCAACCAGCATGCTGGCTGGGGAATTCTGGGAGTTAAAGTCCCCATACCTGTATCTTAAAGTTGCCAAGGTTCAGAAACACCGCTCTAGCCAATGAGAGCATCTCTCCTTCTGTCTCTTCCATCTGTTTCCTAAAGCTTCCTTCACAATTCAACCCTTCCAACATCATCCCTACTCTCTCAAACCGGCAGCAATAAATCACACTTACTACAGCACCCGGAATTGTGTTTTCTTCTCAGACCTTTCGATTGTGACTCTCAGATCCCCCAACTTGTCAGTTTCAGTCTCAGACTGAAGTTCAACTTTAGACGCAACCTCTAGACAAACCGCAACGAGTACGGCGGGATTTCTACGAAGAGCCGACAAGCTGAAACCTGCATTTCTCGCCTCTTCTCCCGCGGTTCATTCATCGCCTTTTCCCGGCCCGAATCTCTTTTCCCATCCTTTGCTCCTCCCCACTCTACTCTGGAATAAAGGAATCCATTTCAGGATGGACTGCGATCCCCAAACCGTCACCCTTCCCAGGAGAACAGATTTAACCCACAACTACTAGAGCGAGAAAAAAAAAAAGTCCACCTACTCAGCCTGAAATGTTCTTCAGCTCCTTCGGGAAAGTTTCTCCTGAAGTTTGCCCTACTGGTCTGCGCATGCGCCCATCGCTCTCCGCGGCTTAAGTTGCAGTTTCGTTCCCCCGTCTTCCGCGAGAGGAGGTGCGGCGGGTCAGACGGCGGCGGCGGGGTGTGCGGCCCTCCCGCTTGGCTGCGCCCAAGGGGGCATGCAGGCATCTGCGCTGCATCCCAGCGATCAGTCCCCCCCACCCCCCCCTGACTGCCCCTTAGGAAATGAATCGCCACTGTACTGGCCGAAGGTGGAATCAGCTAGAACGTTTAGAATGAAGGGATCAGGGAAAATATTTTAAAATCCACCATCAGGAAGAAGTGCCCTGAAGACGTCTGTCGGACAGGGCCTGCTGATTAAATGCAATGGCTGACGTGGGACGAGAGAAAAGATGCCTTCTCTTAACTGAGATTGGAAGGATGTGGAATGTGTAATAGAAGGGTATTTTAGACATACTTCAAAATAATATATTCACTAATTTTCAACCTGTTTTCCTGTAAGAAGGGAGGGGGTTCTTTGGCTCCCCTCTGATAATATTTTGCATTATAAGAAACATGAGGTAGGGTATACAACCTGACTAACAAGGCCACCCAAGGAATTTAAGGCCTAGCTGGGATTTATTCTGAATCTAGCCCTGGTCTCTGGCCTTTGGCCAACGCTAATGACTATCATAAAAGATACAAACAGTCGTATCACACCCTCACCCACCAGCTGTTTTCAAAGGATGGGAAGGAGAAATATTTCTGGACTGCAGTATAGAAAACCAATTTTTTAAAAGATGGGGTATGCCGTTCTGAATGATGTCAGTCCATTAGCTACGTAGGATTGGAGCAGCATAGGATTCTCCCTATAAGAACTATAGTATGAATTCCATTTCCACAGTATGGCACCAAGCCCAAGCCCAAGCCCAGGCAATTCCTGTTTCCTAGTGTAGGGTTAGTCACAGGGGTACTTCTTTAGATCCTGGAACTATTTTATGTAACCATTTATTTGTTTGCTTATTTATTTCATAGACTTTTATGGCTGCCCATCTGAAACATATGACTCTGGGTGGCTAACAATATTAAAAATGATAAAAACATACTGTATACAAAAAATATAAAACATATAGCAGCCGAGAAAGTCACACACTCAGGGCTCCAGGCTCAGGGACAAAGCCAAGTCTCCAGGGCCTTGTGGCATTTGTATTTGTCCAATGCCCTTTGATATCTTTTAAAGTTGGTAGCCATCACCACATTCCATTTTAAGTTTATCTAGACATAAGCTGGGCTGAGGTGCAAAATAAGACTTCAAAATCATAGAGGATCATATCCAATAATGTAATATTTTTAAAATTTTCAATAAGAATTAAGGCATATTCAAGGTGATTGAGGAAGTGCTGGATATTGATTCAGTGGAGGCATCTGAAAAGTGTGACACCACAGCAGCTTCAGCTGAGTTGATATAAGATTTAACACAATTTAGAGAAAAATTATGAGCGAGTGGAAGGGAATATTGGCAATTACATGCAATTTAAACTTTATCTAGGGTATATTGGTAGAGAATCAGGTCTATAGAAATACAGATCTTGGAAGGAATCAGCAAGGGAATTAACCTGTTGACATTGTATTCTTGCATTATCAGAATGTGTTTGACAAAATACCTTATGAATGAGAGTAAATTTAGTTGTCACTGAATAAAATGAGGACAAACTTTGGTGGACAGGGGCCATACATTTTTGTAGGGGCCAATGATGCAGTTAAATCCCACCTTGAGTACTGTGTTCAGTTCTGTGCACCACACCTCAAGGAGGATTCGGAAAGAATATAATCAGTCCAGAGAAAAGCAAGAAGAATGGTCAGAAACAAAGTCTTATGAAAAAAAAAGATGGAAAGAGCTGGGAATGTTCCGCTTGAGAAATCTGAGAAGGAATATGATAGCATTCTTCAAATACCTTAAAAGATGTCCCACAGAAAGTCAAGATCTCTGTACTGTATTGTTCTAGGGAGCAGCACACAGAATAACGGATTTAAGTTGCAGGAAGCCAGATTGCCAGAAAAATTGTGTAATAGTGAAAACAGCTCAACACTGGAACCAGTTAGCCAGAAGTGTTATGAGCTCCCTTTCACTGTGTGGGTTGAAGCAGAAGTGAGGCAGCCATCCATTGAATATGCTTCCTGCTCCAGTCAGGGGATTGGACTCCCAATTCCATGGTTCTGCTCTTGTGAAAGTGAGCAGTCGTGTCATGCATAGGAAAAGAGGAATTTGGGTGGCTGTTGTTTTTAAGCAATATTAGGATGGGCGCCCTGAAGCTACAGAGTGGCAAGGAATTCCCGCCTCAAGTGTAGGAATACCTACTGACCATGAGTGCTGAAAATTGAAGGCAGTTTCCTGCCATTCTAACATAGAAAACAAATGAAAACCATACTGTAGGCCCTAAAATAGACCCAGAAGAGTTAAAACATATAGAAAATCCCCAAACTTTCCCCCAGACCTACCTCTACTCCCACATACGATGCAGATCCATTTTCAGGCAGCCCTCAGTTTCCTCAAAATGTTAAGGGCAGCCCTTGGCCATCCTAAAAATCACCCAGTGTTGAATTATACTTAATAGTTTTTAGAGCCTATAGTATAGTTTTTGTGTATATACAGTAGTAAGAAACCAAATCACCAATTTTAGCAATAATGGGAACTACTCTAAAGCAACGGAAGGAGTATGAATAAATCCTTCCCCAATCACTTGTCCTTCTTACTTTGGCCTATGACAATCAATCCTGATCAGAAGTTACCCATTTTAGAATAGGGAAGAGACTACTGATTTTTGAGAGAGCCATAACATATACTATTTTACATTAACCCTCCCATTCTAAACATCTTCCCCCAATAAAATGCAGAGGCGAGCTACATTCCATCTATTCCAGACACACCAACAAAAATCTTGTTCTTTTTAAGTCTATTGATTTATTACCATTTTAAACCACCCATTAGCAATAACTGCGTAAGTTCCTCTCAGTTATGTGATGTAATATAAATTATGTTAATATATAAATAATATAAATTACATTAGTCTGAGCAATTTTAAAAGGTAGATTTAATAAAACACCAATATTACAAAGTTTATGCCCAGGTGGGACAAGTGAAATCTAACCTATTGAACGTATTCTTTTATACTGTGAATTTTACTCTGATTTGAGACACAAGAAGCTCCTTCCCTTAATTAAAATTTTCCTGTGCATTCAGATGAATGATATGTAAATTATCTGCCAGTAGCTAGACACCTGAACCGCAAAGCTTGCAACGAGACTGCCACTGTAAGACAGGTCAGGCTCACTGTAATATACATGTATCAAATTATGTAGATGTCTGTTACTGCTGTTGTTTGATGTAAATCTGTTCTAAGACAAAATACAGTTTGTAACTGCAATTGCATAATTGTATAATAGAATCCATGAGAATCAAAGAAGTCTAAAAGCTCAATCTGGTGTAGTTTTAGAACCTTCTCTGAACGATTCTATTCCTAGAACGTTCAAGGGGTACTTATCAGGAAGCAGAACTTTAATTCCTGATGCATTTTCCTTGTTCTGAAAAGCAACCCAGAGGCCCAATAAAGCACATCCCACGGCTGAAGAGCGAACGTCACCACGGAGGCTGCTTCAAGAAATGCACGTGAAATCCACGCACTTGCCCTCAGCTGGGTGGATACAGGCGAGTCCGTCAAATCAGCATCTTCTGTTGTGGTTAAATGGAGGCGGAATTGCACAACTCCTCCTCCTCCTCCCCTGGAAGCGCACGGGTTAGCGCTGAGAGCTGCGCTCGTCCCCGGGTCTACCCCTGCTCCGAGTTGTGCAACCCCCGCGACACAGCCAGGGCGATGGAAAAACACGCAGACCCGAGGAAGAGGAGGACGCGCCCGCTGGAGAAGGGGTGGTTTCCCACGCTGGAAAGGAAGTGACGCCTGCCCAGGGTTCCCGGAAGCGCCTTGCTCCTGTGTGCGAAAGAAGTGTTTTCACTTGTTTAGGCAAGTGGTGGGGCTCCGTGAGAGCGGAAGGTAAAGAGTGGGCTCGAGGCTCTGTACGTGGGACAGGGGAGTCGCGTGGTATCTCCGGGCGAGGATGGGAATCAGCGGCTGGATTCCCGGTTCCCCACGTCGCAGGCTCTTCGACAAATCTGGGAAGTAAAGCTGCTCTCCCCAGCTAAGCGGACGAGTAGGTCTCAGCCGCTTGCATCCCGTTAACTCCGCCATCCTGTGCTGGTTTTCTCGGGGGTAAACCCGGGGGTGCCAGGGAGGGTTTTCTGAGCTGGACCGGAGCGGTGGTGAAAGGATTGGGGCTTTCGAGCAGGGAGGATCCCCAGATGATTCCTCCGAATCGGCGTTTGGGGGCTAAGTTCCCCAACAGGGAAGGTGGACTCTCTTAGGTCCTGGCCCCGCTGTAGGAGAGGATCAGGACCGAGTGAAGAGAGGTGATATCATGTGCTTCTAGCCCTTTGCTAGAGCAATTAACAAGTGGGAGGAGATGTCAGAGTGTCCAGTAAGTGGCAGATAGTTAGCTTGGAGGAATGCCAGGCCTCCGCCGAAGTTTGCTTTGAGAACTCACGGGAGCAAAAAAACCCCCCCTACAAAATAGACTAAACTAGAAATCCGGAGATCTCAGATTTGAATCTCACCTCTCTCATGAAAGTTACACAAACATCACAACTTTTACATCAGCTTTCATACAGAGACTATTGTATGTTAAGGTAGTAATTCTGGGCATCCTAACTGAGAATATCTGCCTTTAATTTGCCCTTTGATTTAAAGAAGGAATCCCTGGAGAGTTAAGTTTTTGAATGAGCATTTTTATCAGGAATGGTAATTGGGTTTTTTAAGGTTTGTTGTTTGGTTGGTGTATGTTTATAGTGGTGTTTATCATGAAGGTAGGGCAACAAGATAAAATATAAATGTATTGACTGATATACAAGGATTTTTACATTTTTTTTCTGGGTGTGCATGTTTCCTCAACATTCTCTATCAGTAGTCAGAATCCTACATATATAGGTTACATCTGGAATCTTTTTCTGGCTTTTTGCAGAGAGGGCTTTGGGGTGAGAGGCTTTTTTTTTTTTTAGCTTTTCAAAAATGTTGTTTAACCGTATACAATAGTTTCTGTCTGTTTCCCATCTCTAAAGGGCAGGTAAACAAAATTCAGTGATATAATTGAGGAGATCTGAGATTGCAAAAAAGCGTTTTGGGTTCTGTATGTGGCTTTGAGGCACAGGTTGCTTGCTCCTATTTCAACACTGTTTATAGCTCCTGAACATACAAGAGGAAACCCTTCCCAGCATGTTGAAAAGTGTATACAGGCATACCTCGTTTTATTGCGCTTCACTTTACTGTGCTTTGCAGATAATTGTGTTTTGTTACAAATTGAAGGTTTTTGGCACCCCAATATTCACTTTATTGTGGTGGTCTGGAACTGAACCTGCAATATCTCCAAGATATGCCTGTATTGATGAGTCAAACTGCCTTATACCCTTCACTTAATCACACACAAAGGATTGTGCTGTGCAATAAACTAAGGGAATCTGCTCATATCGTCTTCCTTTTTCTGTTTCAGGTTACGTTCTACCTTCAGACAGTACTTTGGTCACCTGTCCCTCCTGCCCACTAACCTGCTGCTGTGCCACCTCCATAAACCCTGCTATGTGGTTGTATACTAGCTGAATATTTTCCCCGTAGTGGGGAGGAAGGTGAGACAGAATGTAAAGACAACTTCCCCTCCTTTGCACAATGTTCTCATAGGATGTTTGGTGTAGGACAAATAGCTATATGAGGATCAGTGACTCTTTGGGAAAAGAAGGACGAGGGGAGGGGGAGAGAGGGGAAGAAGCAGCTTTTGGCAGTTGATAAATGATGAAGGAAAGGGGTGGGTACTGTCCTTGTTTGGTACAGAAGGACCAAAACGTTCTGCCTTATTTCCATTAAGACAGCCTATGGAAGTGAGAGAGCGTTTGAAAGTTAGAGCAACTTCTTGACCTAGGAGGGTACAAAAATGAAAGGTGTGAGGAACTCGTTATATAGCTGTTGGTATAGGATGACGATAGGGATCTTTTTTTCACTTCTGTATCCTCTCGGAAAGAATCTATTAACGGCTGTACCCTAGTAGGAGGTGTAGCCAGAGTTACATGTAAGTGGAAGTTTTACTACTCTCCCCTTTTGCTTTTTGATATCCGCCCCCCCATCTCTATATCATTTCTTTCCCACCCAGTGGGAAAGGCAAACATCCTTTTTGCCAGACGTGAATTGCTTACTTGCTAAGGTCTTTGAAATTTAGCTGAGAGGGCACATGGCCCTAAACCATAGTTTCTCCATCTCTGGTATAGGAGAATGTAAGAAGATTTGTGCTATATCAGGCCAAAGGTGATCTAGCCTAGTAACAAATTTCTAAAACGGCCTTACCACAAGCAGATGATGAAGAAACAGCTCATTTCTGCTGTTGCCCCCAGCAACTGGAATCCAGCGATGCGCTTCTCCAAGCATGGATATTCCATGGAGCCATCATGGATAAGAGCTGTTGATCTGTCCTCAGTGAATCTGGCTTATCCTCTTTTAATTCTGTTTCAGAAAGTAGCCACCTTCACAGTCCACTTGACAATAGTTTCCCTATGTTGTTTGCAGAATCAGTTGTTTGAGGACGCACTTGGGCGCATCCTGAATCTCTTTCCTATCAAGCAGGGGAGCACAACTTTTGAGGTAAAGCACTTCTCCCAGGACAAGACAAGAGGAACGGCAGGACTTTTATCTCTTTTCCAAGGAAATGAAAGAGGAGTGAAGAAGCTGAGCTCCAAGAAACTGACTTGTTGTCTGAATCCAGAGCTAGCTATGTAATGCTGCTGTGGCTGATGCCCTGAGATGGCCAAAGCGGGCACAGATGAACCTCAGTTACCACAGGGTAAGCCTAATGAAATCCATGCAGATGGCCCACTGCTGAACAAGCAGTTAAGATAGGCTTTTCAGAGTTTAACTTTGGTTTCCCTTTTTTTTTTAAACCAGACTATGGGGATCCCACTTCACAGGTCAAAGATGAGTGGTCAATGGCAAAGACAGAGTCTCAGAGCACTGTCAAAATTGAAGTGATTTGCACAGATGATGGCGAGAGCTCTACGCATAGCACTGGTGAGCAGGAGACTCCATCCAGCAATCTGAAGTGTACTGGAAAGGGGAAGGTTATTGGGGAAATTACTATTACAGCTGTAGTAAGGATTTGGAGCAGGAGTCCGTGTGTTGATGTGTTTGAAATGTTTGTATGTTGCTTTTCAGTATGGAAATTTGAAGAAAACAACCAGTTTGCATGAAAGGATAAGCCAAACTCCTATGAATTTGATTTTATTTTCAGGATAGCGCACTTGTGTATTCTGTCCTGACTTGATTGTTCCTCCATCCAGTGGAAGTGGCTGAACACAATTCTGCTCTAGGTGGCAAAAAAGGACAAAACTCTTTTCACGTTAAGGCAGCACTCTTAAAAATAGTTGGTTTGGTCTAAAATGAAAATAGATTAATATTTAAATTGGTTATTTAATTAAATTAGTCCCATTTTTTGGCATTAAAAATTATAATTCATATATGGCAGCATATGGAGGCGCTACAAAGGTTGCACTCAAGGCTTTCAGGAACTGAAGGAAACAGACAGTAATCACATATTTTCACAGCAACATGGAAGCCACAAGCCAATAGCAACCATCAAAACATTTTCAACGTGATATAAAAGCCTAGGAAAACTGAACAGTATTGCTAGATTTTTGAAGATTGTTTAGTTTGGTACCAGGCAACTGAATAAATGGAAGGAGATCCAGGTGTGAAGCTGCTGTTAACAAGAAGAGCCTGTCTTTGGTAGCTAGCTACCGCTTTCCAGAAGAGGAGAGAGAGTGGTTAGAGCTGTCTATCTAATCAGGTATTAGCAGGGAACATGCTGGCTGGGGAATTCTGGGAGTTGAATTCCACACATCTTAAAGTTGCCAAGTGTGAAAAACACTGCTTTGCACTAAGCACAACGAAATACTATCCCACCCCTGCCAGCCTTGCCAGTTCAATGATAGCCCCTGACTGCTTATTTTTTTTAAATACTGCCAAATGATTGACTACGGGAGATGGTGGAGGGAATAAGGATAAACCAAATGCAACCTTCCTGCAAAGGCCAGTCAAGTCAGCCCTCTTAAAACCCTGAAATTAATGCCTGGGAATTAAGAAATGGGGAGAGTCCCCCCTTTCTCTTACAGTCATCATCTTTGGTTTTCTCTCCCTTCCTCTGCAGCCGAGGAGCCAGCCCGCAAGCGCAAAAAGGGACCTGCCCCCAAGATGTTGGGGGACGAAGTCTGCAGCGTGTGCGGGGACAAGGCCTCAGGCTTTCACTACAACGTCCTGAGCTGCGAGGGCTGTAAGGGCTTCTTCCGACGCAGCGTCATCAAAGGAGCACAGTACACCTGCAAGGGCAGTGGGCAGTGCCACATGGACATGTACATGCGCCGGAAGTGCCAGGAATGCCGCTTGAAAAAGTGCCGACAGGCAGGCATGCGGGAGGAATGTGAGTAGTGGGATCTTAGGGGAGAGCAGCAAAGACCTGTTGAGGCCACCTATCCAGGCTTGGCTTGGAATGGAAGCTGACCTAGCGCAGAGCGAAACAACAGCCTCCTTTATCATGATTTCTGAAAGTGCCGCTGGGCTCCAATGGTTCCAGTGGCAGTTCTTCAAAAAATAAATGATGGGTGGCTTCAGTTTGGAAGGGATTAATCTGTCTGAAAAAAAAAAAAAAGACAAATATAACCTGTGGATTAGCAGGGATCAGCCTAGTGCAGTGTTTCTCAACCTTGGGAACTTTAAGATGTGTGGACTTCAACTCCCCGAATTTCCCCCCCCGCATTCGTGGCTGGGGGGGGGGGTGGGGGGGGGGGGCCGCCACTTCTAAAATCACCCAGCGTTGATAACCCACTCCCACGCCAATAAA